TTGAGCTTCAGTTTTAGTTGGAGCTTTTAAGTAGAAGTAATCTTGTAACAATTTTGCAGCTAATTCAAACTAAAGCAATGATGCTGAAAACCTGTAAAGATCAGACGCTTACAGAGCTGAATTTCTTAAACAATAAAATTAACAAAGATTACTTGCCAATGAAGATAAAACAATTGATGAAAGACAAATCCTCATTTTAAACATGGAAACAGAGGGATTAACATCCTTGCAACTAAAAACATCAATTAAAAGATAAGGAACTTAGAATTAAAGAGCCCACAGAAAAAAAGTGTCATAAAAGCACTATTTGCATTAAGAGTAGACAGAGATCATGGGCTTTGGCTGCAATGTCTTTTAGWGAATTATCTTCACACAGGTTCTTGAGAACCATAGGCTTCCCAAGGTCATATAATGTCATTTAAAAAAAAAAAGTCAGAGGTATTTCAGGAAGTTCCAGCAAGAAATGTATTAAGTCTTGCAGCTAAAATCCCTGTTTGCATAAATGCTGTCAAAGCCAGCTGAATTGCTTCTGCCAGCTCTGAGCTGGAGGCCAAGATTTCAAAGCATCTGAGAACAGAGACTCTTAGGAAGCTTTACAGAGGAGTCCACCTCTCAGGGAGAGATGCTCTGCATAAAGGCATCTGGGAGTCTGCTGGGTCCTTAGGTGCTTGAACACACAGCTCAAACAGGACCTAAACCAAGTGTCTCCCATCTCTCCTGAGGTTTCTTGATAGCAGCTTGATGAGATCCCCTCCAAAAATGAAAGCATCATTTGATTTATTTGCTAGAGAGCAGGGCTGGACTAGACTATGTGTGTTTGCAATGCAGGTGCATAGCAACTGTGCATCTATTATTTCCTAATCTATTATTTGAAGTGGGGAAGTGTGAGTTGGGAGAAGCTGCTTGAAATGAAAGCATTAAGTCAGTAGGTACAGTGGAAATGAATGACGTGGTCTTGTCAGGCTACATTCTCACATAGGAGGATAAGAAACTGGCAGGCTTGGAGAGAAATGGATACTTTGCCAGTGCAGATTCCAGCCTAATAAACTAAAAGCTGAAAAAATTATTCTTTATGTAACAGATGATTTCAAGCCATCATAAAATAAGTTGGTGGCAGAAAGATGCTGGATATTACTTAGTAGGATATTACTTAATAGGGGAGAGGAACAAAGGATTCCAAAGTGTGGTTCTGAAGGCATTTGAACATCCTTACCTCCTGCACAGTTGGAAACATTAAAGCATAAAATTCAGTGTGGAAAACTGTAGGGAAATATGCCCTTAAGGAAAAGGAGATGGGAACCTCTTTGGCACTTTCAGAAAACATCTACACTTGGAGAAAAAAAAAATGAGTGAAGGAAGAAAAGAGCAGATTATTCTGGGGATTAAATTTTGCTGTGCACCTAAGAGAAGAGAGGGCAGCTGCAGCGCATGTCCCTCACTGTCTGGCACCACAGACCTGTGTGGTTTCCAGCATTCTTGATAGAGAGACTGATGATGGGTGGTGGATGTTGGTGCTTTGGCACTTCTTGAGGCAYCCCACAAGTCCTGCTGTGCTGTGCRTAARTCTAGGTGCAGATCTGTCAGACTGTCTCTTAAATTCCCTGGYATCCTGTACCTCTCCAGGACACCAGCTCCCACCARAGCTGGAAGCACTCTCCTGTCTTTCTGCATATCTCAAATCTGGGGCAGCCAGGAGAACTCCTGAAGGTACTTGCACAGACCCCAAATCACTCAGTTCCTTCACTGGGGTCCACCTGTGCAGTTGTGTTCCTGCTGCTGTTGTGCTCACTGTCATCGGGAATTGTGTTCGTGCCTTTGGACAATTGCATTAAACTGGCTGAGTTTGGAAGGGGAAAAAGACAGGATTTGCCACCAAGGGCTACATACTCCCAAGTCTGCAGCAGTGAAGAGAGCATTTTATTCTTGCTGTGTGCAGAAAGATTTCCTTGTTTACGAGCAGAAGCTTATTCAACTTTCCACCATCATCCTGGGGTGTCAGGGCGCAGCTCAGTGCTGCRGTCAGTGACAGCACAGCTGGCAGCCAGCTGTGCTCTTACTGCTGTCCCCGAGCCACACGCTGAGGGACAGCCTCCAAAGTGGCTCTACTGATTCCAGGATGAGGATTTTCTACATTTTCCCTTGTGGGAGGTGTGTCCGTGTGCCTGGCTGAGATGGGGTTTCATGCACAGAGGGCCACAGAGAGAATGCTTCTGTTCCTTGATTTGGTGAGAGAATTTTGTTTAGTTAGCATAAGTTTGCAGGCTCTGTCAAGGGTCTAAGACAGGGATCTTAGTGYTGGATTTGAAAATGCAGTCTGTATATTTCTTAGCTTTGGTTTTTTGTCATTCACACAYGCAAATGGCATTTTACATATCTCTGGACATTCTTTGTGCTCCTAGAGCAGGGACATGGTTGAATGGGACTATCATAAATACTTAAGATTTGAATACATAACTATAGAGTTACTAAATAGCTGTAAATAACTATCTTTTCAYAATACCTGATATGTATTGGCAATCTGAGTAATTGATTGAATAATCAGTTGATTTACTTGTGTCTACAACCAATTTCCTCAGAGATAAACCTCAGAAGTGCTGGGAAAGAGGTAGAAGAGGCAGGCACATGCCGAAAGGGAAGGTAATTTGCACAGAACCATTTTTCCACCTTTTTATTTCTCTGACAGTTTTGGAACCCCTTCATTTAAGCATTTAAAACTGTAACTGAGGTTCATGACTGCTGGCTATTAATTTATGCTCATTGTCAGTATTTTATAGAGATAAATCTGACTCTTTATTCTGAAAACCAACCAACCATTCAAGCGCAGCTGACCAAAACCTAGAAACTCTTTGCAAAGAAAAGCTAATGTTTCTCTCAGAAAGAAACATCTAAAGTAACAAAGTCACTAACAAATTCTATTTTAGACTAGGATGTTCTGTTAAATGCTGACCCTGTCAACTCACCTTGGCTCTGTGTGGTTGAAGTCACTTGGCTCCATCTCTGAGTATTCTCTTGCCTGCACTTTTCTTGTTTGACTTCATCCCTTTGTCCTGGACTAGAGCAGCTTTTCCCAGGCACAGCTGACCCTCTGTGGAYAGAGCTGCAGTCCTGGGCCTTTGCCCTTGCTTAGGAAACGCAGTGTTTGGAGAGCAAACAGGTCTGGTGCCTGGCCTGTGTGAGCTCTGTAGAGCTGAAGAGTCCACTGTGGAGTGTCCTCCCTGTGGTGCCTACAAACAGCCTGGGATAACTCTGGTTGCTCCACATTCGCTGTAAAAGTACCCTGGGGCTGGTTTCTGGCTAATGCCCAMCTGGTACTCTGTTAATGTCATCTGTTCCTGTCAGTGGAACATTTCAGAGTCTAGGCATTACAGGAATTATAGCTGRGAGCCCTGGTGCGAAGGCAAGAATGCCAGGCCTGGCTGAACTGGACTCAGCTAAGGCCAAAGCTAAACAAAGCCATGGTCTCAAATATTTAGGTTTTTGGGGTTTTTTTTTGTGAAGAGTCATAGGAAATGAGTGCCACCCTCAGACTCCTCTCAACTCTTAGCTGCAACTGTTCTGTTACAGAACCCCACTGATCTAAACCCAATGCAAAGCAAAATCATCCTGCAATGAAGTGCTGARAAATGTGCATCAGGTAAACCCAACATTTCAGTGGGAAAATAAGCTCAGCATTTTTTGCAATATGGAGCTGTAACAACACCAGCACACCACCAAGTGTTTTCTTACCAAGTCCATGGGCAGCTCAATAACAAATGAGAATACTGCCCAATGTAGTTGTACCCATGTACACATTCTTGTACTCTGTTTAGTATTTTCTGTGAGCTGGGTGATGCCAGTTGGCCACCGATTAGGCAGCAGCAATTTTTTGCAGTTCTCCTTGGCCCAACTTTAATGTGGGTTTTTTGAGGAGTTTAAGGGATTACCAGGCAATCTGAAAGACAACACTTGACATTTACWTGGTTTTTCATTGTTTTCACCTTTGCCAACCAAACTCTGCTCCCAGTTACCAAAATTATCTTTGGGATAGATCCTACAGATCTCTGCTATTGACAGTATCTGGATTTGACCCTATGAATAATTTCTCTGAGTTTGCTGTCATGATAGGTTGTGACAGCAAACATTAAAGAGGGTATTATTGCTAGTCTGGGAATGATTGTAGCTGACTTTGTGTCCCTCCATGTACGTTCCAAAGTAAATTAAGGTAACTTCTCATCTGTTCTTCCTTTAAACCTCACCTTTAATTGTATGATTTCTCAGGCATGATGGGCATGAGAAATGCTGCAATGTCACAGTCTAATTATAACATTTCAGCACAGCTTTTCTTGAGCTGCAGCCCTTGCTCCAGTGGGGCTCTGGGTGGGTTTAATTGTTGTGTGTGTATTTTTATCATTATGCATTCTTCCATCCAAGACAGTGGACACGCTGCCCTGCTTCCCTGCATGCACGTGGTTTTCTGCCAAAATAGGACCAGTGACACGAGGATAATTGGCTCCTATAATGCTGTATTTCCTTTTCAAAAATCATCATGTAATGACTACAAAAGCCAGTCATAAAAAGGAGAGCAGAAGGAAGTCAAATGTCAGGAATTGTTTTATTTCAATGACTGGAAGTAATTTTTAGCCACATTTGTTTCACTAGTGAGTGCCAAAATGATATAAATTTTGATTGATGTCAGTGTGCTCCAATTGTCAATTTGCTAGTTTGCTGTTGTGGGAGAAAATGCTGAAAAGGAGGATTAAAAAAAATGAAGTACTTGTACCTGTACAGTCCTCTATGTCAGAAAATTCTGTCATTTCTGTGGGTTTTGTCTGTCTAAAGATGACAAGGTTAAGGCCTTTTCTGTTAACTCAGTTGTTTTCTTAGTCAGAAAGCTATCTGCTTTTTAATGGATTGATGTTTATGTGCTAGAGAACTTTAAATATAATATTCCTGCAGCTGTACATGACTGCAAGGCATGCCAATAATGCAGTTAAAGAAAATAAGAAAAAGAGTTTACTTACGGAGATTGGAATAATTGCTGCCTATTCCAATACTGAAGGAGCTTCCAGAGATGAGAGGAAGATGGAAGAAAATAACTAAGAAGGGAAAAATGAAGAGAAAGGTCCTTAACAGTAGTTTGGGTTTGTTTTGTACCAGATGTGAGTTGAAGACGCRATGAGTTAACGATCACCTGCACTCTCTGTGCAGGATTGCACACCTCAGACCCTGAGTGCACACACAGTTGTAGCTCAAATGGGGGGGAAATGCCCAACAAGTCATTGCTTCATACTTCCAGGAACACCTCCAGTTCAGGAAATGATATTAAAGCCTCTTAAATTGCAAGCCCCACGTATAAAATATAAATATGCTAATTATTGTTGTTAAGTCATTCATCAGTCTCTGAAACAGGCACCTACCATTGTAAGACCAAATAACTTCCCTGATTTGACTGCAGCTTGAATGCATCAGGCGTGTGCGTGCCAAACTGGGTTGGAATAAATTGAGTCTAAAATTTGATACACATACTCCCCCTATGCACTCAGGCTTTAATATTTATAACTTGCTCTTCAAAGATTTATATTTACAGGCAACAAAATGCACACGAGTAAAACGTGTCCTAAATAACCTAATCTTTAGATTTCTTATAAGACAGGCTCGTTCGCTCCTGCAGATGGATTCAAAGCCTGAGCCCCGAGAGTCGCTGGCTGTGCCAGTCTTTGCTCGGGCAGCCTTGCCTTGCCCTGACCTGCCCTCCCCTGTCCAGCCCGGCCCTTCGCTGCTCTCCCCTTCCCTGCCCTGCCTTCCCATCGCGGGCCAGGCCGGGAAGGGGCTGCTCCCTTTTCGGGACGGGGTCCCTGCGAAGACAAAGTTTCAGCGGCGGACGGGACTCGGGCAGGTCCTGTGAGACACCCGCAACCCTCACCCCACACCTCGCATCCCGCACACCACACCTCACAGCCTGCACCCCACACCTCACACCCCGCACCCCACACCCCCATCCCGCACCCAACACCCCACATCCAGCATCCGCACCCCTCACACCCCGCAGCCCTCACACCCCGCAGCCCTCATCCCGCACCCGCGGCAGGGCGGGAACCGCGCGGCTCCCGCGGCCCCTCAGAGCCTTCCTCACCCGGCTCGGCTCCTGCTTTACCCCGACTCGGCTCTCGCCTTTCCCCGGCTTGGCTCCTGCCTTACCCGGCTGGCTTCAGCCCCTTCCTTACCCCGGCTCGGCTCAGCTCTTGCCTTTCCCCGGCTCGGTACAGCCCGTCTTAACCCGGCACGGTTCAGCATCTGCCTTTCTCCAGTCTCTGCCTTCCCCCAGCTCAGCCGCTGCCTCCCCTCAGCCCCGTTCAGCTCCCGCCTTACCCCAGCCCCTGCGTCTCCCCAGCTCCGTTCAGCCGCTGCCTTTCCTCATCCCAGCTCCGTTCAGCCGCTGCCTTTCCCCGGCTCAGCCGCTGCCTTTCCCCAGCTCCGTTCAGCCGCTGCCTTTCCTCATCCCAGCGCAGCCGCTGCCTTTCCCCGGCTCAGCCGCTGCCTTTCCCCATCCCCGCTCAGGGGCTGCCTTCCCGCACCCGTTCCAGCCGCTGCCTCCCCCACGCCGCTCCAGCGCTGCCCTGCCTTACCCCAGCCCGCCGCCGTGCCCGCTGTCTCCATCCGCCCCCGCCGCGGCTCCCCGGGGGCCGGCGGGGCCCCGCCGCCTCCTGCCGTGCGCGGGGCCGGAGCGGGGCCGGGCCGGAGCCGCTGGCCCCGGGCTGGGGGCAGGAGGGGAGGGTGACCCCCGCCCCGCGGGCAGGGCCGCACATGCCGGGGGCAGCGCGGGGGGGCCGGGGCCGCTCATGCCGGGGCTGACCCCGCCGCTCAGCGCTCCTGCCGCAGCCCCCGGCAGCGGAACCCGGGCTGCCGCGGGGATTCGCCGCCTGCTTGAGCAGCCGTAGGCGGACAACGGCTCCGGAGAGCCGAGTCCAGCCCAGCACTTGGGCTAAAAGGGAGGGACTGCGYGGAGGAAACCCACGGGGGTGGACGGGATTAGCTGGCAGTGTGGAGGATAGAATTCCGTGGGGCTAGATGGGGGCTAGGAGGAGGATGCAGTYAGGTAGTCCAAGTGAGAGCTAAACCCACTTTACAATAGTAAGATCTACTTGCTCCCAGGGATCTTGAGGACGTTCCTCACTGTGGATGTTAAATGCTGTAGTGCTGGATACAGAGGGAACAGGGCTGCAGCAGGTACTAAATAAAGCATGAGAGCTTTCATAACTGGTTGTTTACCTCAAAGAAAAGCATCATTAGCTTTTTATGTAAAGAACGTATGAAATGAGGCCTTTTTTCCGTATGTTGTTTCAGCAATTTGGGTTTTTTTTTAATGATCCAAATCCCACTGGCAGTTTCTGTCACCCAAGCACTCATTAGCTCTGTGGGACCCTGCAGAGTGGTGCCACTGATCCTGYTCATGAGGGACGTGGAGCTGAAGCTCCATGAGTGTGTGGGCAGCCTTCTGTCCCTGGGTGGTTTTGTTTTCTGGAGAGCAAGTTCTCTCAATAAGAGTAGCTTTGCTGTCAGTATTTAAGCTGTTTGGCTTCTCCTTGGTTTTGCAGTGATGGATGCACAGTTGTAATGAAGTGTGGGGTTGAYACAGAACATGTAAACTCCCTGGTAAAAAGTTTCCTGCTGTCACTGATCACCTTTTTTCATTTGCTTTTCTTTTTAAATCCAGGTTGGCATTAATGGCGTCTAAGACAATTGAAATGAAGGTTTATGGGAATTTACAGGTGTGTTTCCTTGTGGCTCAGGGATACCTGTACATTTTTGCCCAAAAATATAGTACCTTAGTAMCCTAAAACCCCTTAGAATGCTGCTGCAAAAGTTACCTCATAATCAATTTCTTCAAGCCCTCAGAACGTTTGACTCCTTGAAAGACTCCTTGTTTATAATTTCAAGAAATGGAAACTGCACGGCTTCCTTTTAGGACTCTGTTGTTTGGTTCTTGGCAGGAAGATGTGAATCTGTACATGCATCAGAAAATCTGATTTTCTGTGTGCTGGGTTTTGGGTGTGTGCCCACTTGGCCTCATTCTGCTTGTGAAGGATCATATATGTGYACAAAGCTGCACTTATGGATATTAAAATATATTCACTGCTTTAAATTTCAGAATTCCTAATGTTTAGTGCTCCCGCAAATGTTGGTGATATCTTTCCCCATGGCACCTTACATTTACTGTCAGTATCAATATTTAGTCCTGACAGACTTGGGGTCTAAAGTTTGACTGAAATATCCATGCTCAGACAATTAAACAAGCTCACAAGTCGTGAAGAATGCCTTARTAACTGACTGGATGCAGGACTACTGCTCAGTGTTTGCCAATTCTGCCGAAATCTCTCTCTCAGCTTGGATTTAGAGGCCTTTCTGGGAATCTTGTCCTTTTGCTGCAGTAAGAGTTGCAGCTGCTTCTGAGGACAGAGAACATTTGTTTCTGGGTCAGACAGCACAATGCATAAAATGATCGGTCAGAGGCTGCAGAAATATCCCCACAGCTACCAGGAACCTTTGGGTGCTCCCCAGCACTCACTGAGCTCAGCTGGGATGGACTTGAATATTGTAGGCTGTGCTCACCCCACTGATTTCCCAATCTGCATCACATACATATGTATATGGGGTAATTTTTGACCCTTTTTCCTGGGTGTTTTCCAGCTTTTAGATTYCCTGTTTTTCTCCTCCAGCTGTGCACCTGAGCCAACCTGGCTGTGGACTGRGATTCAGGCCAGACTCGTGTTTGCRCGCTCARTGCAGCAGTGCTGTGTTGTGTCATGATGATCCTGTTGGTAGTTTTCATTCTTATTTGCTGTACACATTTCTTACTGTGGCATCTGCTTTCCTCTTTCAGTAAAAGAGATTTGTATTAAAGAAAATTGGCCACAAATAAATGATTTAACACATAAGGGTTTCCTTATGGATGGCATTTGGGAGAGCCAGAACAAAATAAAAACTATTCAGGATTCCTGCTGCTTCATCTATTGACTTTGTGTTAATTTGTCTTTCTCAGGATGTCACAGAGCAAATGAGACCAAGGCAGTGCCTGTGTGAAYCTGAATGGTTCCAGTCTGAATTCTGCCACCTTCTCATTTTTCCCAGYCTATAGAAATGGCGAGTATAACTGMTTGGGAGCCCAAGCACATTCAGGTAAGATTTGGAATGGCATAGCTTATGGATGGAACTGCACAGAGATGCTGTCCACAGTGGGTGTTTCCCAATTCACTGATAAGGAAAAAAACCAGTGAGGGACCCTTGTTGAAGACAGATAATTCTGTTCTTGGATGATTTTACATTTTCTCCAGTCGAGGACCTCATAAAGCTGCCATCAGCGCAGTGGCAGACCTCAGCTCAGCTTCTSGTCTCCTGGGGTTTGCTTTGGGATCCTTGGAGCAGAGTAGAAACTGCAGTGTGGTAGCCAATTTTTGCAAGGCAAAGTAAGTTTTCTTCCTATAATGAGAGCACTTTCTGACTGAGAATTTTTGTGTATTCATAGCAAGATGTTTGGGGGATGTTCATTACGTCCTTCTTTTGCTTTGTGGAAAAGGTGATAATTAAATAATTGTCAGTTGTATCATACGATTAGTAGTAGATAAAATACTTCAGGATGAGCAGAATCGATTGTGGGAGCAGGAAAGTCTTTTCTGTGTGGAAAATCTGGGAGCAGGGAGATTTTCTTGGTGCTGGCTGCTGTAGAGCCTGCAGTGCTTTCTGCCTTCACATCACCTTGGGCCAGCTCATTCTGCCCTGTGCTGGGCATTCCCAGTGCTCTGCCACTGCTGGAAAAGCTGATTACACCAGGCTTGGGCTCAGGGAATTCTTTGCTGGGAATCCCAGGCTGAATAACACTGTGCCTGCTGCTGAGAGAAAAAGAGGTCAGGAAAAGAGGGTCTGGAGTTGATARGAAGCATCTCATGCTTTCACAGCTCCCTGGGTTCTGAAATGTAGTAAAAAGAATTATTTGAAAGAAAAGTTTTCATTTTTTATGAAAAAAAAAACCCAAAAACAGATGTTTGCCAGGTTTTAAATATTTTCTTTTTGGGCTTATTGTAGAATGGCTATCAAAGAAAATTCCTCCATGCTGAAAGYTACTTTAATGAAAAGGGTGGAATTGTACATTGTAAAGTTACTGTACAACATTTTTCAGCTGGCAYTTATGGGACAGGTAAATTTATTTTGAATAATATTTTCTAGAAGTTTAAATCAAATGTTTTAGTTCTTCAGGCATAAAATCTGTCAAGAGGAAAAATAATGTTAAGTTATTAATACAGATGAAGCATATCAGTAACAAGTATTTTATAGCAGCCTGAAGGCCCAAAGGCAGAAATCCTGTTGTTTTACCTGCCRTGTAAAGAAATGAGACCTGGAATGCAGAGGCTCTGTTTCTATAACTGCTGTGTCAGGAAAGGATTCTGTAGGAATTTTATGTCATGCCARATTCTCAGAGGCAGTTTTTCTGATTTTTAGAGTTGCCAACTCTAAAAGGTGCTCTTGGGCTCTGGAGCCAGATTAATTTCTTATTTATTCACCTGCTTTAAGAAGTTTGAGGAAGGTGGTGAGTTATTCTGTCAGTGTCTGCTGTACATATTTTTTAATATCTGTATATATGCTAAAAATAATTTGGTCMAAGATTGTTATTGAAAATCCAATATTTCCCCTAACTGGTTTCAATCTTCCTGATGCCAATTTTTAAGGRTGTAGAATGGAAAATTTCATCTCAGCGTTCTTCTCCCTCTCATTCTCCAGCTCCTTGATTAAATTTATAGCTAATTATGCTATTATAGTAATTTATTTTGTGTTGACCTTTCAAGGACCTTGGAGCATCTGACTGTGAATGTAGARTCTCAGTTTTTATTTCTATGGGGCCTTGTATGGATTTGTTACAAAATGTAATGGCAYTTTTGGGCTTGAGGATGGCCAGTGGATTAGTAACAAATGATAACACACGAGTCCTTGGAGATACTTAACTATAAATATACTGGAATATAGAGAAAGACATAGTTAATTATGTCATACACAGCATTTAAAATTAGATAACACCTCTAGCACTAGCAATAACAGTAAATCTTCATGTCAGAATTGTTAGAAACATTTCATATGTTGTAGGTCCATTCTTTGACGTGAGTGTTGCACTTGGTGCTAAAAATCCTGTGTTTGGATGGTCAAATCCCCTTGTATCCCATGAAATATAGAGATATCTATTCCTAAGGTGAGGAATATCCATGGCCTTTTGGGGGACCAGGCTTAAAATCTGTTTTTTGTTGCAGAGGCCACATCCTGTATTGGCAGAGCTCAGTGCATGCACCAGGTATCACGGGAAGGAGTGAAGAAAAGGGAAATGAACGGAAGCGTCACTGAGGAATAGTTTATTGACTATTCAGAAGATTGCTGATCAGTTTAACCTTGTAGAGGTTMGAAGTTTCATGATTTAGTCATTATTTTTTACACTGAAGTGAAGTATTTGTCATTTACTCTCAGAAAGGTTTTTGAAAGAACCTTTTGGCAGTGGGGAGAGAAGGCAGCTGTGCAGTGCTGTTAGTGTGAGCAAGGAGAATCCAGACGTGCCTTTGGTCACCTAAACTAGAAATACAGATGAGGAAAAGACAGCATGGCAGCAACCCAACGTATAATTGTGACCCACATTGATTTTATCTTTCTGACACTRTTGGGTGCTAACAAGAAATACTTCTTTCACCTTGAAGTATAAACTTGTAATTCATTGTTGTTCGTGTTTTACCAAAGAATTCACAAGTCAGTAGCTCTCCATTTTA